TGAAGTGTGAAAAGTTTTGTCTTACAAGTTTTGAAGATTGGGCGGTTACCGGGTAAACCGGGTAAAAATTTCGGGTATCCAGAAAAACACAGCTTCACGTCGACCAAAAATTCAGAATCAGGCCACCTGAACAGTCTTCTATATCAGATTTTGGCTAGCAGCGCCGTTTCGGCCAACTGGACACTCTGGCGATGCGATGACGAATTTCGGTCAACTGCTCTTGTCGGCCAACTTAGGTTTTTTTGCCTCAACGCCTACTTTCGGACGGGTGGACACTGTCTCGGACAACTGGACCCTTCCTCGGGAAAAAAACTCTGGGGAGGAAACCTGGACACTGCAATTGCAAGAAAAGAACTATCAATTATTCCAGTAAATATGCGGATACTTGCTTCTAATTGTCGCAGATATTTGCTTTTAAGTGTTCTGGATACTTGCTTCTGAATGTTGCGGATACTTATTTCCAGCATAAATAGAGGTCGATTTCAGCTTCGAGTCAAAGCTTCTCTGTATCCTCTGATTTTAAAATGCTCAATTTCCACCATCAAGTTTGTTTCGGCATTCATCAAATTCGGCATTTTATCGATCATAACAACAACAATTTATCGCTGCAAACTCAAAGCAAGCCTTCAAAACACTGGTATTTGCCCTTGTGATAAATTGATTTTTTTTGGAGGTCGGACAATCAAGTCTGAACCAAGTTTGAAAGAAAAACGGTTAAAAACGGTCAAATGGGTATATAGCCCTTCGAGTATACATGTATAAAGGTTAGCGTATGAGGGGATCCGAACCCGGTCGACCGATGGTTTGAACGTTGTCATATACGTTAGGTTATATTCGCTTTTCACTCTTATTTACGTTCGCACTTTCGCTTCGTTATTTGTATTTAGTTTTGCGCTTGAACAAGAAAAACTTCAAGCGGAACAGTAATTCAGAAAAATTCTTAGCTTTTAAAAAAGTCAAGTCCCTTTTCCCGTCATATCATACACGTGCACAACAGACAAAATATGAAAAATTTTAACAAATCGAGCAGAAAAAATTACAACCAAAGTGAACAACAAAATTGGATTAAGCCTGATTTGTAAAATGCTGAAAATGACTGCAGTGAAAATTGTTTACAGCATAAATAAATGTTTGTTAGATCAGGCAACTAAGCCGACAAAGCATAAGCAGACAAATAACACAACGATTTTTTTCTCAAACTGGAATATTCAAAGTTTAAAAACTGGTCGTGGTCAAATTCGAAAGCAGGATCTTCGCCGACATAGGCGTATGCGTTACCACCAGGCTAAGTGCGCAAGAGACACTGCAAATTTTGAATTCATTATGAATCAAGGAAGCAATCACCAGGCGTTTAATGAGTGTGTAGACAAAGTTGTCAACGGGGAAAAAATTCTGGTACCCAGTGCAATACCTTTGCTCTCGCAAGGGCAAACATATCGAGTAATATCAGTCGAAGGAAAAAACAAAATCAGTTATTCCAGCTATTGTTGCCTGTGGTGTGAATGTGAATAATTTTAAAGCAATTTTGGATAATTTTTACTCTCATCGCAAGAGCAGATTCAAAGGAAGCACAGCATTGCAATTTAGCAAATACAAAATGACACGAAACAACAAAATCAAAAAAAAATCGGGAAAAAGCTTAAATAGTTTCAGAAGGTCAAGGTCAGACCGCGACTCGTACCGCAAACCTGAAGATAAAAAAAAATTAAAGTGATAATGCATAAAACTAAAGAAAAAATCTACACACTGGCAATTAAGCCGATAAAACTTGAGCAGACAAATATACTTTGTCGTCTCAAGCATGGTGATTACAGCAATTTGGAATAAGGCTTAAAAAATTTAAAAGTAGACAAGATGGGACAATTTTTACTTTCATCGCGAGCGCAGAGAGAAAGCAAGCGCAGAATTGCAAGTTAGCAAATAACAAATGACACGAAACAACTAAATCAAAAAAAATTTGGGAAAATAAATTCAGAAGTCAAGGTCAGACCGGGACTCGTACCCCCGAACTTTAAGATATAAAAAAAACTAAACGTGATTATCGAAATGAAAAGTTCAGGAAAATCTACAATATGGTCATTAAGCCGACAAAACATAAGCAGATCCAGGCGCATTGCTGTCCCAGGCGCATTTGTCACCTCTAGATCAAGAGCAAAACTCAAGTTTGCGAAAAAGACCCGGTCCGATCCGAACCGAAAATCTTTGTCATCTCAAGCAATTATTTTAACTATGATTGGACTTGAATATGCAATTACCAAGCGGTAAGAAAACCGAAAAAACCTTAGCAAAAACCCTTCATGCTGAAAGAATATTCAGAAAAATTCTCATCTAAAAAGATGTCAAATCCCTTTTCCCGTCAGTGCACACACACCCGCGCAAACACTTTTTGCGAACGTAACGACGCAATAAGAGGCCCTTAAGTTGATTTAAATTAGGTCGAAATTTAGAAAGCCGATAAAAGACGGAAAAAATGAAATAAAAAATTATAGCAAATCGAGCTGCTTAAATTACAACCTATGTGAAAAGCAATTTTCCATTCACCCGGATTTTTAAAATAATAAAAACAACTGCAGTTGAAACTGTTTGCAGCTAAAAAAAAACGATTTTCAGATGTGACAACTAAGCCAATAAAACATACGCAGACAAACAATAGGCCGAACTTATTTTGAACCGGACCAATTACCGTTTAAAAAAAAACTGGTCCAGGTCAGATTCAAACCCAAGACCTTTGCTGTAATTGGCGTATGCGTTACCACCAGACCAAGTGCGCTGTAGACGCAAAGAAACTTCAATTCATAACGATCTGAACATAAAATTTCCATTTCTAATTCTGACCATTTTGTGAACAAACTTATTTACAGAAAAAAAGTCTTGTACCCAATTGAAATACCCTTTTCAAGAGACACTACAAAAATTGAATTCATTATGAACCAAGGAAGCTATCACCAGGAGTCCAATGAGTCTGTGGACAAAGTTGTTTATTTATAGGAAAAAAAGTCTAGTACCCGATTGCAATACCCTAGCTATCGCAAGGGTAAACATCGCGACCAATCGCATTGGAAGGAAAACACAACAAAATCAGTTTTTTCAGCTATTGCTGCCAGAGATGGGAAACTGGATATGGCCATAGGCAGATGCGGATCTAGGGGGGATACGATTTTCAAAAAAAAAATAAATCGCAAATCTTGTTGACCCTTCTTTAAGCAGACAAATTGATTTTGTGACCGCCCCCATATCAATTTAAAGACCCTAATTCCGATCAAATTTTCTGCGCCGCAGGCAAAACTTAAACAATAGGCCAAAAAAAGCAATATTGGCAATTTTTAGTCTCATCGCGAGTTCAGATACAAAGCAAGCGCAGCATTGCAAGTTAGCGAATAAAAATTGAAACGAAACAACAAAGTTTTTGGGAAAAACTAAAATAATTTCAGAAGTGAAGGTCGGACCGGGACTCGTACCCCAAACGTTAAGGTCCATCGGCAACCATGTTATCTTTAGGCCAAGTGGGAAGTTGTCTCGCAGTTGCTAATAAAGTAACTTCAATTTTTTCAGATTAGTAGAAATTTTGTTTACGGAAAAAATTCTTGTTTCCGATGTCTAAACAAGGTTCGCCGGTTGCTGTTCAAGTAGCACAGAATGTTCCGACCTGATTGAAGAAACAATTAAATATAAATAAACTCCTAAAAAAACTTTTCTTTCAATTTTTTTTTTGAAATAGCTAGCATTGCGTTTAAAATAAAGCAGAAATTTAGTTCGATTTGCTCAACTAGTTTCTATTCTTATTAAGTCTGAAAAACCAAAACTTCAGACCAGTTTTTCGCGGCACTGAGACATCTTTTTCGGAAAGTATTTTTAATCCCAGCCATGACTAATGTGGCTATAAAATGATACCAAACTTACGTGGCTTGAACCAATTTTAAAAAATCTACCCTAATTCATAGTTCCTTCCCAAATTAGGTCCATCATTACGGGCAAATATTGAGAGGTTCCGAATTACAATATCAATAAGTATAGCCGTTCGCTGTGCAAGTAGCACAGAATGTTCTGACCACATTCATGAAAAACTACAAAAAAGTTGAACATTGAAAAATGCTGCTATTTGACATGAGAGGACAACATTACGACAAGTCACAAAAAACAATAGTCGTTGGTAATCAATTTTTAATATTGGTCAAAAGGCACTTCAAAATTAAAGAAATTCTTGACCCGAACGAAGAAATTGCTTCACTTGTTCCTTCAATTGCGGAAAACCTTACACTCAAGGGAGTTTCATCACACCTGGAGAACTTTGAATCACTGTCCGAAAACTGCGAACTCAGGGAACGACACTGACACAAACTTAAGTGAATTTCTGTAATTACCTCTCTCCAAAAAAAACTACTTGATCGTTTCAAAAAGCAGTTTTTGGATCAATCAACAAACCGAGACATGAAATCATATGCAGAACTGACGTTTGGCTGCTGGATAGAGACCTCGAGAATCTGAGTTATGACGAACCGGGTCGAAAAACTTTTTAGTTTAGTCAGAGGTTTTTTCACTGACTACCGCAAACTTTTGTTGCCATCGAAACTCAAGTGATATTTTTTTTTGTAGATAGATGACGCATGCACCATGCAATCGTCAGCATACTGTATCAAAGTACATCCATCGTAGATACGATTTTTGAATACGATCTGCAATAGATGTACTTTTTAATTATTTTTGTCTGTCCGAACTTTTTGCAACTAATTATATTTCAATATTTTACAAAATGCCGACAAAAAGGCAAACACGAAACTTCAAAGCAGAATTTTAATTTAATAAATCGATTTAGTATTTCGATAAGTTTGAAGGTCAGTGTTATTTCAAAAAATTATTACGTTGTCGGATAAACTTGTTAATAGCTATAGAGTATCACATCAATTGACTTTTCTCGTTCATTGCGGATTCAAACAATGATACAAAACATTGTGTAAAACACCCCACACGATCACGAATGTTTTCAATTTCTGTAATTTTACCTTATTGCTGATGAATAGAGGAATCGTAGCTTTTTGAACCGCCATTGGCTCTTGAAAGCCCTGTGCAATAGCAACATCTGCTATTTCCCGAGATAGGCCAAGCTGGATCCAGTCTCCACGACCCATGAGCACCTTGAAAATTAGAAGACCCATAATGATATAGTTATCTATTGAATTCATTTCGAAAGCAGTTTTACAGCGATGCGCAAGGTCAATCCAATGCTTTACAGTGCTTAAGAAACAGTCTGAGAAACAGCATATAATCAAATCAATGAAAAATTAAGAATCAGCATTAACGACTATGGCAGTCGGCCGTTTACGTGTACAAAAAACAATGCTTTTATAAAAACCAAAAACAGTTATAAAAAATTATTTAAATTTTTCTGACGTTTTCGGAACTATGCCCATCGTCAGGTTTAAAAAAAAATGATATAGAATGATTTACAGTGTTAAACCATCATAAGTGACAATTAACAGGTTCTAACAGAAAAATCTTTCAACCAATCAAACTTAAGCAGTATCACATAGGAATTTGGTAATGTTTACTTTCCCTTCAACTTTCCGAGAGTTTTTATCTTCCTTAGAGTTTCCTTATACTAACTTTTTGATTTTAAAACTCTTCCGATTGACCTGTTCGATATCCTAAGCCAAAAAAAACTTTGGACTTGTGCCAGTCGGTCATATTTGGAAGTTTGACCTTGAGCAATGCGAATAACATGATTTTGGGGTCAAATGGAATTTTTCAAAAATTTGAATTGGACATGTCATGCTCAAGTTTCTCGCGAAAACTTCATATGTGACCGAAGTAGGCGACTGTTACACTTCAAGTACTACTGAGTGATCACCAAATGTCTTTGAAACATTCTACGTTTTCTGGTTGTCCCTGTTTTCCCCGTTCTCCTTATAAATATCGCTAATATTAGCTGAGCAAGACTATAGATACAGCAATTTTTGACCGAATAACAAGTTTTTTGTCTCTGTTTCATTTTCGTTTGTTTTTTGCTGTTTTTGATGTTTGTTCTCAGACCTTATGACTTCTCAAACAAGTTCCAAAGTTCAAGTGTTATCCTTATTTTTTTTCTTAGAACAGTTTCGATTCCCTAAACCATTCACCTGAAAGTTATCATGTAGCAGCAACATAAGCAAAGCAGAGTTATTCAATTTTTTCCACAGAAAATTTGAAATTTTCTCTAAAATTATTCTCACCAAAATCCTGAGTTTAATGTCCCAAATGTTGTATGGTTTCTTAAGCAACTTTTAAATTATGATTATCCCTACTACAATCGAGTGAGTGCTCTCCTATTGGTGCATGTCCTTGCGATAGTTTTCTGTCCGCTAGCTAAGATTTCGACCATATAGTTGTTAAACGTGGAATAAACTCCACATTTTGTTTGTTTAAACACCAATCTGTATTTTTTCATCTGCACGAGAAGCCTAGAGGAACGCTAAGTGTTTTCAGTTTGTTAACAGTATACAGTTAGTACAGCTTCCAATGACAACCAATTTCTAAGAAAAATTGGAGCGGAGTTAAAAAGAAAAGAAACTAAATCTTTGATAGCAGAAACTTACTAATTAGAAAAAACTATATGGAATATGTAGTTTTTGCAAGAAGTCATGACAAAACTCAGTTTTAAATACTAGCAGTTTAGCTATCATTGCTGATTTAGCAGTCGCGCGGCATCGAGCGTCTACAAAATCAGCAGCATTCAGAACAACAACATCACTTGCCAAGCGGCCGCTAATCTTACCTTAATCCTGGAAACCACTAAATATCAGAAAAAAACTGCATGACTGACAAACTTGTGCAGGAACAAAAAAAAAAGGGACAGAGTTTGTGAATGTGCTAACACACTCATGTAACACCAGCAAGTTGTGTATCACAGTAAATCACTTGCTAGTAACCGCAGAACCAAGAATAACCAAGCCATCAAACTTGCTGATTGCAACAAACCAATATACGAACCCCAAAATTGCGTCAACAAATTCAATCAACAGTTCACCTCGCACATTAGTTTTGTAAGAAAAAATAAAAAAAAAAACAGCCCTTAAATGAAACCAATACATCAACAAGGGAGGTTAAATTTGCAATCAAAACATCGAAGAAAAGCAAAATTTTAGGACCAGATAATATAGCGCCAATACACCTTCACCATCTCGGGCCTCTGGGACTGAACTACGTAACCAAGGTTCTTAATCTCTCAAATAGTAGCCGTATTATTCCGCATATATGGAAAGTTGGAGAAGTAATTTTTTTTGCTATAATCCAACAATTTTGCTCCGGAATCTAAAAGCTATCGGCCAATTGCCCTTCTGTCACTTTTATCCAAACTGGCCGAACGCATACTGCTCAATGATTTTAACAGCGTTTACTTGGAAGACTATCAACATGGCTTCAGAAAAGGCAGATCAACCATCACTGCTATACATTGCATCTACAAAAACATCCGAGCAGGGCTGAACAAACAAAAAGCTTGTGATAGCACTCTCTTCGTAGCATTAGGTTTAACTGCGATTGTCGACACAGTCGACCATACAGCGCTTCTGAATCATTTTTTGAGCCCAACATCGCGAACAACTCCAAGAGATGTATAGCTTATCTATAAGGGCGTTTCTTTTTTGTGAAGTTCCGGAACTCCAAATCAAAACTGAGCAAATTAAAACAAGTTGTGCCACAAGGCGGTGTACTCTCGCTCATGCTATTTAATATCTACGTGAGCTCTCTTCCAAAGCCTCCCACTTATATAAATGTTATAACCTATACTGATGATACCACAATACAAACATCCAACAGTGACGTCAAACAATTGAAGTCACAAGCCTCTCCGTACCTAACAGAATTGGATGAGTGGCTAAACCCAACAAAATTTACACTGTCCGCAAACAAATCATCGTCAACAGTCTTTACGACTGGGAGCAAGGAGGTGAGTTTTGACCCCACAGCTATCAATTAGTGGTCGAAATATCCCCCTGAAGAACAAGCCAAACTTTTAGGGTTAACATTCCATAGCATGCTCAATTTCTCCTTTTTCATCACTAACGCATGTGGAAAACTTCAAAAACGCAATGACATTTTGAAAATCCTATCGCGTGCTTTTTGGGGTTGCTGAAAAAAAGTTTGTTGTTGTTAGTCACCGTCCACATAGTTCTGACCACCTCATCACACTTACGAGGGAGTCTAGACACATCCGCCCAACAATGAAAGATCGCTTCGGCGATGAAACTGGCTTAATTTTTTTTTTGGATTCGTGTCAAGATATTTTCCTTGCAACTACAACAAGTTCACTGGCCTCATCTCCCAAAATGAAGTCAATAAAAAAATCAATGAGGATGAACTCAAACTATCACGAGGCACAAGAGTCATTCTACCAAATCTAAGCTCCGGTTATAGTAACCGCCTAACCTCCTAAACGTAGAAAATATCCTCAAAGGACAAATGAACGCCCACAAAACTGTGCCTCACGATGCCAAAGATCTGTTCAATTGTCAAAGAAAACCGACAGACCTCACAATTGAATGCTTATGGGAAAACCCCATAAAAGCTACAGCGTTTTCAAACCGCAGCAGACTTCATCGCTAATATGATTACTAGACCAGAGGAATAAGGGCCTTCTCATCGAGCGAATAACACATCAAACTTTAACCACTTGCAACAACAAGTGATCCAACAAGAAACTAGTGAAGACACTGGTACAATAGACGGACCTTGCGCTAGAATTGGGGGACTCCTCTCCTACCTAGGGGCTCCCCGGGAGAGTCAAAGTGCATGTCTGCCACAGGACGAGTCGAAATCAACAGATCAAGAACACGGACGATCCAGCAATTAAACCTTGTCAGAAGCCCGTAATTGCAGCATACGCGTTTACAATAAGAACAACTTAATCCTAAGCTTTTATTATAATTCAAATTCAAATAACTCATAATATCCAAGTTGCCATAATGACAAAATATTTTGTCGTCAAAAATTCCAAAATTCGTTCCAGTCCGAATACCGGTGAAATCTTTGAAACTATTAGACAAATCAAACCGACATTGCAATTCCTCCCTGAAACCAATTTCAAATGAATAAAAACAAGGTGTGACGGGTACGGGTGAAAATATTTGAAAATCATAAAACTTGAAATCAGGCAAAATCAAGTACCACAAATAATCATTGGAGAGAGATGAGTGATATCATATTAAAGCCCTTACAGTCGCGAATTTTTTCAGCGGATAAAGCGATCGAGCAGACTTACAATAGCCTCTTTTGTTTGCTCAAACGCCTACAATTGCTTAAAAATAAGACTTAAAAACTTAGCTTTACTCAAGTAACGTTATTTTGTTTTTGAATTTTTTGGTTTCCTTGATTAGAACAGTTTTGAAAAGTTCCCTGCATGAGCGGCTACGCCCTATTTTTTTAACATTCAAAGTTTATAGCCGTCGAAAGATTGAAAAAAGTTCAGTTTCTTGAACTTCTTGAAAACTCTCGAAAACTACACGGCCATATCTGAGGTTTTGGTTTCAATTGAAACAACTGCCACGAAGTTTTTGTGACACCGAAAGTTGTGGCCGTCGGAAAAGTCAAAATTTGATTTTCTGACCTTTTTTTAAAGTCTTGGACTTTTCTCGAGTACTACCCTCCTAAATCTGAGTTTTTAAGTTCATTGAAACTACAGGTTGCATTAATTCGTGCTGCATAAGCGGCTCTTCTCTATTTTTTCTAGCAAAATGCTACGATATTCGGAAATGTCAAGTTTTTGATTTTTGACTGTTGTTTGGACGTTTATCACTATCTATTCTGTCAAATCTGATATCATAGAAACAGCAGGTAAGTGAAAGCCTACCATTATTTTTTGCGATGTCCAATTTGTTTAATAAAAAAATTCACGGCCCTAAAACAAGTCAAAGTTTTGAAATTTTTTGCATATACGCGATTATTACCGCGCTAATTCGCAGGTTGTGTTAAATCGAGAAAACCTATTTTGGAATCTTATTTCCTTGAGCGGTCACAATCTGCTGTTTGGAGAAAAATCTTATGGATTTATGAAAGTCTTTTGACTGATTCTTAGAACTTTTGATTTTAAAATTTACACAGTCAAATCTGAGATGAAAATTTCAAATGAAAGAACTGGTTGCGATAATTGGTCTTGCAGAAGCAGCGACTTTTTAATTTGGAAGATAAATGTTATCTCCTTGGGAAATTGAATATCTCAAAATGTTTTTACTCTTCTCAATTATTTTAGTAGAGAAACAGAGTTTTTCGGCAAAGTCCAATTTTTGTAATCACATTTTTCGTGCCGCATCAGTATAGCAAATTCTTTCCTTATCAAACACGTACATCCAGCTTTGACTGAACCCCTAGTTGTTTTCTATCGAGACATAGGAAATTTTTGGTTCACTTAGTTTTCAACATTAAATTTTTGTTAATTAACAATTAGGTTGTACCACTCCTTACTCTTTTTTTCTTTTTTTGTATCCATCGCCCTTGTCTAAGCAATTTTAAAGCCTAATTGAAAATATTATTAAATAAACCCAAAGAGCTCCCTTTCTCGCCCCAGTTAATTGTAGTTCAGGTAGATGCCGAGATTCCAGGCAAGACGAATCACTGGGTTCTCACAGAAACTAGTTATTGGGATTTAAAGACCAAATAGATCGAATCAGCTCTAGTAAAATCAACAATTCACTCCTACCACCGCGCTACGCTTCATGATCTGTTTGAAACAGTTTTGCAAAACAGATTAAATCCTAGATACAGTAACAAAAGTTGCTGGATACAATGACAACGGGCTGCATCCACAAGAATTAGAACAGCAGCGGAAAAAATGGATTAACCTTGTCACTAACAAGTTTCAGCCCAAGTCACTGATCATCTCCAAAACAATTGGCAACTGTAATAACTCTGAAGTAAATCGCAAAATTTATATTCAAAATCATGTGTTGTTTAATTTGATAAATAGATTTATACACCCACATACACTTTCATGTGTTTGCAATGAACTTATTAAATAGATATTGAATAGATACTTGAAATGTTTACCGGGGTAGCAATGGTTGCCCCGCGATAAAATGTCCGACAGAAGATATCACTTGCTCAAGACATCATCTTCAAAAAATCTCCAGATTGCGGATTCTCAAGCACGCCATCTTGATTTTCCAAATTTCAATATCTTGTCCCTACCTGGGGCCCGAATTGGTGCGGTCCAAAACTTCTTACCCGAGAAAGACAAATTCAACATCATCGCTCTGCTCATCGGCGGAAACGACGCCTTCAACGGAAAAGACCCCTCCAGTATACCTGCAGGCGACATTGCTGAAGAACTGTCGAAGCTAGCCGAGGAGCTGTGTGAACGAGCCAAAAAAGTTTTCGTCATCGGAATCCCTCATCGTAGTGAGAACCGAGCTCGATCTGCAAAAATAAACGAATTCCTAAGAAAGATAAAAGGAACTTGGAAGTTTAGAGGAGTGAGTGAAAAAATCCACAGCTCATATCATTTGAAAACTGACGAAGTGCACCTCAGTGAAGAAGGTCTGAAGGGCATTAAAAGTATTCTCAAGAATAAAATCTTATACGATAAACATTCGAACATCTGCAATACAGAAGGACATCTGGTATATTACGAGTGTAGTTTGAAGAACTGTCAGTGCCCCTATTAACGTAAGTAGAAATAGTGAACCGCAGGCCTCCCCTTTTCGGGAACCACCAGGTTTGTCTATTTCTTCTTTTTCCCCTTAGTGAGCCACAGGCCTCCCCTTTTCGGGAACCACCAGGTTTAACTGTTTTTCTATCCATAGTATAAGCAAAAATGGGCAAAAACTGCAAAACATGTAAAAGAGGCTTTGCCGGCAACGAGAAAACATACACTTGTGTCGCATGCAACGCTCAAATGCATTTGGAACCAACTTGTGTTGGGTTGTATCTAGTGGCCATAAATGGAATAAAAGAACTAGGGCCAAATGTCATGTTGCTTTGTAATACTTGTGTGCAAAATAATGAACGAGACAACTTTATAAGATGCAAAACCCTGGCCAACATAGACGAGAAGCTCTCAAACATTGATGTAACTGAAAGCCTTAAAAGCATGGAAAGAAGACTTACCGATTTAGTAGATCAAAAAATTGGAAATGCAATGAAAACGACATGCGATAAAGTGGAAAAAACTTATAGTGCCGTTGTAGCTGCTGAAACCACCACCCGGATAAATCAAGCTCAAACCACTCAACATGCTGCCAGATCTAACTCTGATCACAACATAAATCAAAGTTTTAGGATACAAGGGGTCAAAGAGGACCCTGAGAAAACAAAAGGAGAAAACCTTGTCCCAACAAATGACGAAGTAAACGAAATACCAGACATAATTGGAGTGAAGCCGAAAATAATAGAACTAAAACGACTGGGAAAATTTGATCGTAATCGAATGAAGCCAAGAACACTGCTGGTAACTGTACCTAGCGAACATGAAGCACGACTAGTACTAGCAAAAAGCCGAGAAAAGCGAGAACAATTGGTCGAAAAAGAGGTCTACCTGCTACCAGCATTGACCAAAGAGAGTGCAATTAAAGAGAACGAAATCCTTAAGAAACGAAGACAACTACTAGATGAAGGCGTTCCTCGCGAAAAGCTGAAAATAAGGAATCTAGAATTGTTCAATGATGGTGTGAAAGTAACTATTGACACTGAAGTTCAGGAACCCCAGCATTGACTAGGATTCCTCAACATTCTGCAATTAAATACTAGAAGCCTAATCAACATAGAGAGAACAACTAAGCTAGCAAATGCAATTGCAGTTGGAAATTTTAATGTCATATGCTTAAGCGAAACTTGGCTTAACGAGAATATTCAATCATCAGAGCTTTTTCTAAGTGAATATAACATCTATAGATCAGATAGAGCTATTGTGAGTGGTAGAAACTGTCACGGAGGCAGCCTAATAGCTGTCAAGAATAGTCTAATTACCGAGGACTTATCCACCAATAATGGCATTCCTGATTCATGTGTGCTATGTAGTATAAAACTTCATCAAACTGAAATGATAATTGGCTCATTCTACAATCCGCCAAAAAACAGTAATTACAGATACAAAGTGCATGAATTTGAACAACTGATCAAAGCCATTCCTAAAAACAAACCGCTTCTCTTATGTGGGGATTTAAATTTCCCAGAAATAAACTGGAACACCCTCACCAGTACTGACGAGGAAGAAAACCAAATACTGCAAATTTTTGAAAATGGACTCTTTAGGCAGGCGATAGATTTCCCAACATGTGTGAAGAACATACTAGACGTAGCCTTTTATCAAAATTGCTATACAAGTGCCGAACAAGATTTTAACGTTTCCAAGATTTATGACTGCTCAGATCACAATGCCATAATGTTGTCTATTGAATGCACGGTATCAGAGCCGAAACCATACTTGGAAAGTTTTAGAAGTTTTGGAAATGCCGATTTTGAAGGAAGAAACAATTTTATAAACGAGAACCCATTTGAACCAGTATGCCACACAAACATTAACAAAATGCATGAGGAGTACACCCAATATTTGGATGAAATCATTAAGAGTTTTGTGCCTCTCAGAACAAGACATAGGAAATCACTTCCACCTTGGATAACAAGTAGCACTTCAAATTTGATCAAAAAGTTACAAACAAAACGGCAATCATGTATACTCAAACCGACCAACTACAGAAGTCAACAAGTTAAACTGTTTGAAAATTTAGTAACTGAATCATCGGAATTGGACAGGAAAAACTACCAAGAGGAATTGTTTAGAACACGGAACACTAATGTAATTTTTAAACACCTAAAGAACTTGAATAAACATACAAGTCTTCCTAAGTTACTCATAAAAGATGAAGTTGAAAGCACAAATCCAAACGAACAAGTCAACATGCTAAACGACTTCTTTCATTCAGTTTTTAATCCTAAAGAAAGTTTTAGTATTAGAGATATTCATTTGAAAATCCCTTGTTAACGAATTTTGATATATCGAAAAAGACAGTAAGTGAGATTTTATCAACTCTGGACGTAACAAAGTCACGCGGCCCAAATGGGTTGCCACCTAGCTTTTTTCAGAAAACGAACCGCAATATATGCAAACCGATGAACAAACTTTTGAGAAACGTAAAACGCCTACGAAAAATACCTGATTCATGGAAAACAGCTGCAGTTACTCCTGTTCACAAAAAAGGTGACCGAAAAATGGTGAACAACTATCGACCAGTATCGCTATTAAATATTGATAGCAAAGTCCTTGAAAAATGTATATACAAAGACCTGTACCCTTACTTTGCCTGGTATTTGACGAAACATCAACACGGTTTTACTAAAGGTAGATCAGTTTTGACAAACATGCTCTCTTTCCTGAAAGAAATATATGAAGCGCTTGACAATGACTTAAACGCAGAAATTGTAGCATTCTACACTGACTTTGCAAAAGCCTTTGATAAAGTTCCGCATTTTGATCTACTTAAGAAAGTTGCACTTATAGGAAAAGGAGGCTGCATGTTAGAGGTACTCTATGACTATTTGAAAAACAGGAAACAGTTTTTACGAGTAGACAATATCAGCTCAAAAGTTTTAGAAGTCACTAGTGGTGTTCCCCAAGGATCACTTTTAGGACCACTGCTCTTTTGCATTTTTATTAACGACCTACCTGAAGTACTCAAATTCTCTGAACCATATATTTTTGCGGATGATCTTAAACTACTTTCCATCAAAAAAACATCAATTGAAATTCAAGAAGATCTGGACAAAATTCAGCTGTGGGTAACTGAAAACAAAATGGAATTAGCACTAGATAAATGTGCAAAAGTAAGTTTTAGGGGCGGAGACGCTAACTCTATGCTTTTTGGTTTAGTGCTTGGAACATCGATGGTTGTGAAAGATCTGGGAATTTTTGTGTCGGGCGATTTAAGTTGGAAGGTACACATTGAAACAAGATTAAAGAAGGCAAACCAAGTACTGTACCTCCTGAGAAGAAACCTATCAGCAAAGATAAATACGTTTGTAAAGTTAGGCCTGTATAAGTCACTAATACTCCCAGTGTTATTATACGGACTCTCATGTACACATATATCGAGGGGGGATCAATTGCAGTTGGAGCGATTTCAAAAGAAAGTAATCCGTTGGATCACTGGAAATAAAACGGGAGTGTACATCAACGAACTACGCTTGCTAAACATTTTACCCCTGCCCATGTTCATCCAGCTAAATAACATCTTACTTCTTGCCAGTCTTGATTCTAATGAACGAAATGAAATAGTGTTAAACAGGCGAACCACACGGGCTAGAAATACAGAAATTTTTGAGATGCGAAAAGTGAGAACGGAAAAAGCGAGAAACGAATTTGTTTTCAGAACCAGTAGGATTGTAAATCGATTAGAACCATATATTCATTTTGATAAACGAATCGGCCTCAAGACGAGAATTTTAAACACGATGTGGAAATTTGTAAACGAGAGATTTTCAGAAATGACAACGTGCACGTGGCAATTATTCTGTGATTGTATCACGTGCAGAAACAAGTGGACATTGTTTTAGAGAAGACGCCGGGACCAAGAATCCCAACAGCAGTGCTGTGAATCCCCAACAACAACAACAACAACAACAACTTTTTGTTTCACCTCACCTCAACCTAAATCCAACCCCTCAAATGTTCTGCCGTGATGGCATTCATTTCTCGTTCTACGGTAATGAATTCTCTATCACTTTTCTTGCAAATTGATTCTAAAATTTCTCTCGGTAACTTGACACCGCCGTCCTTCCTCAAATGGCTAACCAAACACATTGCTTTTGTTGTAAAAACAGCTTGCGAGGCGAAGGTGTTTGGTGCTTCACATGCCCAGCCTACATGCATGTAAAATTAGTGATCAGTATGACGATTTCAGCGGTCATCACTGCACCTCCCATTTTCATTCAGCCAACTACACGCGTGAATGCAATCCCCCAACCCTAGCTCCAACCACGCTCCCCCCAACTGCACCCTCGCCCTTCCACTGCCCCACACTCACAAA